TCAACCTAATAGCAATGGCCTCCAACCTAGAAGCGATGGCCTCCAACGTAGAAGCAAGGGCTTCCAACCGAGAAGCGATTGCCTTCAACCTAATAGCAATGGCCTCCAACCCAGAAGCGATGGCCTCCAACCCAGAAGCGATGGCCTCCAACCCAGAAGCGATTGCCTTCAACCTAGAAGCAACGGCCTCCAACCTAGAAGCGATGGCCTCCAACCTAGAAGCAAGGGCTTCCAACCCAGAAGCGATTGCCTTCAACCTAATAGCAATGGCCTCCAACCCAGAAGCGATGGCCTCCAACTCAGAAGCGATTCCCTTCAACCTAATAGCAATGGCCTCCAACCTAGAAGCAATGGCTTCCAACCCAGAAGTGATTGCCTTCAACCTAATAGCAATGGCCTCCAACCTAGAAGTGATGGCCTCCAACCTAGAAGCAAGGGCTTCCAACCCAGAAGCGATTGCCAAGCTAATAGCAATGGCCTCCAACCCAGAAGCGATGGCCTCCAACCCAGAAGCGATTGCCTTCAACCTAATAGCAATGGCCTCCAACCTAGAAGCGATGGCCTCCAACCGATGGCCTCCAGCCTAGAAGCAATGGCTTCCAACCCAGAGGCGATTGCCTTCAACCTAAGGAGGGGCGTTTTTTAATTCTTTGGACTCTGCTTTTGCTGCTTTTTTGCTTCTACTGCTTTTTTGCTTTTGTTGCTCTTCTGCTTTTGTTGCTTTTCTGCTTCCGCTGCTTTTTTGCTTTTATTGCTTTTGCTGCTTTTCTGCTTCTGCTGCCTTTTTGCTTTTGTTGCTTTTCTGCTTTGGCAGCTGTTCTCCTTTCTTTTTTTGATTTTGCTTTTCCATTTGTTTGCTTTCTAACCTTTGGATCTGGTGTGCTGCTGGGGGGGGGGCGCTGCGCCCCCCCCAACCCCCCCGAAAAATGGTAACATGGGGCTTCTGGGGAGTTTGGGTTCATCAATCACCTCGTTGAATTTTCTTGGCTCTTGAAAATTTGTGTTGAGCCTTTGTCGTTTTTCTGGGGTCTTGTTATGCGTGTTTTAGGGTCATAACTTTCATTCATTGTTTGGATTGAATGAAGGGGATAATTGTTGAGGTGGTCAGAGTTTCTATGTGTAGGTTCAGGTTCAATTTCTACCGAGTTGTTCTTCAAAGATGTCGAATTATGTGCTTCAAATTCAATGTATTGATTGAGGTTAGGCGCTGTGGTTCCTGTTTGGCATATCAAGCATCCTTCAATCCAAAGCCAGTTTGGCACAAATTGACTGAACCGATGTATTGTCCTTTGTCTTTGACATTCTGCAGATGCATCTTTGTGAGGCAGGTTCAGCTTGCGCCAGGCCGGCTCGTCCTTCCAAGCGGTCATGCACGAACGCAACCCGCGAGGGCTTTTCCGGCGCAGACCATCAAAACTGGTTGGACTTTCTTGAGCACAGGGAGCGTCGTAGTGCTGGTTCTCCAAGCTCTCATTCAAAGGTTCCTTCCTGGCTTCTTCATGAACAGGGCAGTGAGGAAGGCTGGGCAAAGGCTGGAAAGGACAGAGCCCGCCCTTGCACGGCCGCTCGAGGAGGAATACATCAGGAACTTCATTAACACACCTCAACGTAAAGCTTTGAGCGCACCTTCATGCTTGGTGGTCAGTGGTTCCCAAGGCATTGGGAAATCAACCATGCTGCACAATCTCATGTGTGAGCATGTGAAGAATGGCAAAAGGGTGCTGCCGCTCAAGATGTCAAGACGTCCTGGTGAGGACTTGAAGCTCAATGAAGCGCTGCCCAAAGCACTGCAAGCAGTAAATCTGCCACGATACTACCCAGAACAAGTGGAGTATATGCTGGAAAAGGTGAATGAGACGTCCAAGCGCCGAACAGGCAGTGCTGTCGTGGTGTACCTGCAACTCACAACCAAAAGCCGCAGAGACAAATTTAGTAGGGATCCCTCGGTGCCTTCGCTCGCAACATCACCTACGACAATGCCGCGTGCAAGTTCATTTTGGAGGTCAGCGTGTCTGCGGTGGTGGACATCGTCATAGAACGGCTTAACATGTCAAGGCTGGTGGTGATGCGACCGCTGCCTTTCGAAGACTTCGTATCTGTGGTCAAGGAGGTGGCAAAGCACGGAAACGACTTCCAGACGCTGAACAAGGTTCTTGCCGACGATGAGGTAGAGGAGGTGTTGAAGCACTACTACATCCGCGCAGGGGGCAACTTCCGCGACTTGGACTTGATACTGGAAAACGTCTCCAGAGCAGGTCAGACAGGTGCGTTTGAGCAGTGGTACAAGCGGAGCAGGAAGTGAAGGACTATCTCCTCAAGGTGGCAGAGGCAGGACCCATGGGGTATCTCCCAGAGAGCGACGAAGAGACCAACGTGGCGTTGCAGCTTCTTTTTGAGGAGCCAGCAGACTGCGTCCTGAGGAGTACAACCAGTGATAGTGTGGCTTTGAAGCATGGGCATTTCGTCGCCAAGCTCTTTCAAGAGGATGAGCAGAAGTTGAGGGATGCAGGATACATGTGAGCTTCGTCGGTGAAAAAAAAATGTGGCGCTTGAGATGTTTTGTGGGTGAGTCATCCAAGGATAATTTTAACATATTGCATGAATTTCCGCGGATGCCCAGCCCTAGTATCAATGATAGCGAGATACCAGTATCTAACTATCAACAATACCCAGAACCTAGTAGTATCAATGATACCCAGATACCAACATCCAAGTATCAACGATACCCACAACCTAGTATCAATGAACCAAAAGTCCAAGTATCAACGATACCCAGAACCAAGTATCAATGATACCCCGATACCAGTATCCAAG